GTGTAAGAGAGCAGAAGTACGGCTCATAAGAGTTTTCCTCGAATATATTATGTACTTAATATCTGTTGGGCTGCCTTTGCCTCACGTAACGGTTGGTTTGGACGCAAATGCTTCTCACGGCAAACTTGCGTGACGCGCCGGCGCGCGAAGTTTTCTTAATCCCATCAACCAAGCTCGCACCGCAGGTAGGGCGACCGAACCCCTCGCAAATGAATCGATCTACAAACTGTTACGCGATATTGACAGCCAATTTAATGTGTAATAATTGGTGGTCTTCCAAATTGTCACTGTTTCGCGTGGGATAATGTTTGCCAGGTGGTTTTCGGGTAGTAAAAACAAGGTCGCAATTTTAGCTACATTGCCGTGACCTTACAAGTTTCGGTTGTTTTGTCTGTTTGTGATGGCGAAAAATGTTTCGTGCGCATGCACGTTTTTTTTTTTCTACATGCTTAGTTTTTTTCGCCGCGTGTCAATCGCGATTTTCTGAAACATCTGCGGAGCTCTGAATCTAAGCAAGGGCTGAAAAAAAAAACCCTAAAGGCAGTAGCGCAATTTGGGAGGCATCAACCCTAAACACGAGAAGCATTCTGTTTGGGGTTAATGCCTTAAATGTGGTGTAATTCGGGGGGGATCAATGCTAAACACGAGAACTGTCATAATATTTAGAGTTGATGCATTGAAAGTATGCCTGGCTCCATATGGGGTTTAGTTCGTTTTACACCGTATAAAATACCAGACAAAAAAAAAGAGCATAAGAAAAGAGATTTTTATACGGGCCATTATAAAACATTTCGGAGCTATCACGAGCAGTCATAGCGCTATCACAAACGGTCACATGTTCCGCCAAATCTATCACGATTCATCACACGGGTATCACTCGCCGTTACTCAAAGGCACTAATTTCTATCACGCGTAGTCACACTCGGTACTTTGCTATCACATATGAACTATGTCATCATTTCGTCGACCCGCCCTGAACCACTGTACAGATTTAGGGACTATATTTTGGGTTGCTGGTTTTTGTCCTGTACGCGCGACCATGTTGAAGACAAAGATACCTGGTTATGTTCGGGCGGACGTACCAGCTGTAGATTAAAAAAAAAATATGAAAAAATGTGAGCGCATATTAATTTTGCTAGAGATCACCATTTAGAGAATTTTCCTGAATGTCAGTGCAAGGCATTGTCTAAGAAAGGCCTTGTCTGCGCGACCGGACTGAAGTGATTAATACGTCACAAAATGTCTTTGATGAAAGGATCGAAACCCCAAGCTGTAATCCCGCGATTTTGGCCGTAAAACAAAACGGCACCTGTAACACGGCCAGAGCACCTCCGCAGCATGAAAAAAACGTGGAAACCCATGCAAGTCGATTCATTTGGACGTGTTTCAGTCGCCCTACCTGCGGTGCAAGCTTGGTTGATGGGATTAATAAAAGTTCGCTCTCTGGGGCGTTGCGCAATTTTGCCGCTTCTCACACTCACCTCAGTTTCAGTCGCGTTGTCGTTAATCGCTGAGCGGTGCACGAGTTCGCGGTCTATGGTTCTCGAACTTCGGGTGTCTAGCCATTAAATTCCCTAGTTTGTGTGTCAAAGATCACTACAATATGAAGGGTATCACTGTAAACGTTTTTTGCATGAGTTCAATGTCCTATTTGCATGGATCTCTGCGAGGCCGACTTTCATACAGCTTCTTTTCACCCCTTCTATGATTCCTAATTCTGGAATTGTACACAGATCAGAACCACGTTTCTACCAGACGAAAAAATTGGTGTGCGAATGCAAATGCCCCTTTTGCAACTAGGCAGCATTTTCACCAAGTTCTTGGCCAACTACGAACACCAGACTGATTCGTTGGGTGGGCGTGGTGAGAGAACAAGAACACGAAGTCACGCGGCATTCATACGTTGTGGTTGGCTGGGCTGGAATTGGTGTGGTGTGGTCTTATGTTCAAGCTCATCCGCGTTGCCCTCCTCCATCTTCCCTTCCATCTTGACGCGCTTTCATAATCTCCGTGATGGTTTGTGTTTTACCTTGAACTCCCCAACCCAACCCGTCCTTAGTGAGTTGTCACATCCATCTTTCGCTGCCAGTTTCCCTCATTCCTTTCACCAAACATGACTACCGATTGCATACACCGAGGAGACAGCAGTTATCCGCCATACCTCTCGCAGTTCCAGCAGCATCAACTCCCAGCATCTGCTGCCGCACATATCTCAAATAACGGCTCCTGGATATCGCCGGCTGACCTAACGCTGCCAGCAACTCAACGACACCTTCAGCAGAATCACGATTCTGTTGTTCGTCCAGCCGCAATGCATCGCCAGCAACGAATGCATCGCCGTTCCCCATCAATGTCCGTCGTCGAAACGTCGCCGAAAGCTGGATACGATTACAGCGACTTTCGAGCGGCGCCGTCCACTGCCAACGTCGCAGGTACTACTACTACACCCAACGCCGGAAATCGCCGCGTAATGATTACCTCCCCTGACGTCTCCGCAGCCGCTCAACCACCACACGTGGCAAGCACGGCGCACGCCACGTGGAAAAAACCAGGGATGACGGTACCTCCGCTCGTCCGTCGATGCACAGTCGGATCCGACGGCGACTATTTAAACTACAATAATCAAATAGAAGATTCATGGTGCCCTAGTCCAAGCCCAAGCCCCCGTGACGTACGCTTCGATTTTTCCGGGGAAAAGTGGGCGGATGTTCCAACGTCACCACTTCCGCCGAGGTCGCCCGTTTGCAAAGGGTTTCCGCCTCGTGCAACGTCGACTTCCTCCAGAATGGGGCGATCTGGCTCGGTTGGAAGCGCCGTTAGTAGCGTCACCTACGACGACGACGAATCGGACGACGACGAGGCGTTTATTCAGCAATACGTTGCGAAGATAATCAACCCTGCCGCAGCAGCAGCAGCCGCCGCCGCAGCTGCTGCCTCCGCCGCTGCCGCGGCCGCAGCTATATCTGCACATACTTCCGCAACTTCTGCGCGAAACGGTGGAGGTGCTGCGAAAGAGCAAGGGTTTTACCCGCCGAATCGAGGGTCGCGGGGGGCGCGGACGCATCGGCGCTGGCAGAGCTTCTCCGACTGTCCCGTCCCCGCGGGAAAATATTCCCCTGTTGAACGTTCCCCACAGTATACTTTCGCTACTTATTCGCGGAGGGCTAATGTAGATGTTGCAAGTTTTACCGATGAGTTCGTACCGCTTCGCGATTGTTCAGCCCAAGAGAAGTACACAAAGTCGCCAGATCTTGGTTACCGGGTTCCTGCGGCCGCGTCTTTGCCCCCGCAGCATCGTCGACGGAACAGCGTCGCCCCGAGCTCTGGCATTCCGCGACGTCGCTCAGGCGAGGAAGATTGGCAAATGCTTTCGCCAGGCGAACTTCAAAAGATCCACGTTTCAAGCCCTAGGCTGACGAATCGTGCAGTCGCGGGTTCGAATCCCGCAGGGCCCGAACCTACCTGGTCCCCTCATTATAACAACATCAGGCACCAACAGCCAGCCAACCACGTGGGCTTTTCTGACACACCTCCTTTTCCCTCTAGGGCTCCACGTCAGCAGCAGAAGCCTAGGTCATTGGTTCACCAGAGGTCCAAGAGCCAAGGTGCTAAGGAGCTCTCTTTTTCCATGGGATCCCATGGCAACTCTCCTGTAAACATGGTGACTGGACGGATGGGACTGGACAGAACATGGCATTCTCCTGAGCCTCATAATTCCTATGGCTGGGAGGTTTTTGCATATGAGAGAAGGTAGGGGAGCATATAAACTCAACTAGAGCTGAGTATGTATCTTCATATAGGTAGCCTGCTAATTCTGATTTCTATTCATCTGTTATTGTATGGCCGTGATGCAGAATGACTAATGATTCTAATACTTGATATGTGGTCAAAATATTTACGCCTCTGATCCCTTTTTACACATATCAACCAAGCTCCAGCATCCCACTCAGAGTCAACGTCCTATTCGGAGTAATCAGGTACATCCTTCGTTCTGCCTCACAAATAATCCTTCACCGTTCTCATTGCTAAACAAAAAGCTCTTGAACGCACAGCACCTTTTATAACAGCACAGATGTTTTATTCCTTGCTTGTAACAACCTTGGCCTCCGTGGAATCTCGTTCCAAGCTCTCGCAATTTCCACCCGCAGCGTAGATGCGAGTCCCATAACGCAAAGTTTGGCGCTGTACCCGTTATAGCCTGTTCAAAGCTCATGCTCTGTGCCTAAGCCTCAGGGCCCAGAATACCGTGTTTATGATGAATGCGCGATCTGCGGCGCAGAGACTAGTTGATCCACCAGTTTTCCCAACCAGTCGACCCTTTTCCTAGCGCAACCAGAGGGTTATCGCACCTCACTCCCCTGCGTTTGTACACGCCGTTATTGCGGTCCTTTGTGGAATTTGCGATGTCGCAAAGTGGGTAGTGAGACTCAGGACGGCTGGCACAATTCCGTTAAAAGTATAGTTGACTATCGTTCAGCATTCCTCGTGACTACTTCGAGCAGCTCTTATCTGTCGTGCGGGGAGTCAACCAGGAAGGTGACTGTATCGGTTCCGGCAGTAACGGAGGGGTGGCAAGATGATGCGAACAGGGAGGGATAGTGAAGTGCGGACCCAGAAGAAGGTCGAGGAAGGTACGCAGTTGGGAACCTCGGATTTGTAATAAGGCGTAGGTCGTAAGGATTTTGAAACAAGTAAGGTGGATTTAGGACTTGGAAGCAGTTTGGAAGGTTAGAGGGTAGTGGATAATGATCGGATTTGTTAACGACGGTAGGATTTAATGTAAATGCTGTTGGAATCCTACGGTTGTAGTTCCACCCGCCATAGACAATCCACACTTACTCCACAGTCTCATTCCTGTTTACTCTGCACTCTCACTTCGTAGCCTCACATTGCACTCACTTTATTGAAGAGTTAGGTGTGACCACTTTTGAGAGGAGTCAAAAGTTACTCCACTCACACTCGCATCACCTCCCTTGTTCTCCACAGCCCTGCGAAGCAAGATGAAGGAGCGAGCGCTCAAGGAGTGTGCACAGGAGATTGAGACAAGTGCTGACTGCTGACTTGATCCAAATTCTATCAACATCCTTACCGCCCTCTCTCCCTCTCATCACCTCTCTTGTTCCCTGCACTGCAGCTCTGCGGAGCAAGATGAAGGAGCGAGCGCTCAAGGAGTGTGCGCGGGAGATTGAGGCATATGCTGACTGTGTGCGTGGGCGTGTGTTCTCCATCGTGTGGGCGTGCCGGGCACACGCCACGGAGCTCAATCAATGCCTGCACCAATAGTAAGAAAACAAGGAGTGTGAGAGAGAGAAAGTGGAGAGGGTGTGTGTTCTCCATTTTCTGAGCGTGCCGGGCACACGCCACGGAGCTCAACCAATGCCTGCACCAATAGTAAGCAAGTAGGGGGTGTGCTGACTGGGTGCATGCAAGAGGCGTGTGGAGAGGGCGTGCGTTCTCCATTGTGTTGGCGTGACTCGCACACGCCACCGAACTAAATAAATTCCTGCACCAACAGTAAGCCAGCAGGGCATCTGAAACGGGACGTGTGGAGAGGGCGTTTGTTCTAATCAGCTGCAACTGCATCTTAACTTGATCAGTTCCATGGTTTTGTTGCTCTCTGTTTGTTCCGCACACCATTTTCTCGCAGCACCAACGATACAAGCGGGACTACATGGCTCAGCAGGAGCAGCAGCTGCGTTGCACCTTCAGTTTCATTGCTTTTATGCTCTCTAATTGCCCCCCCCCCCTTTTTTCTCACAGCACCAACGATTCAGTGCTGGATCAATACAAGTGGGACTACATGGCATAGCAGCAACAACTGCATCGTATCTGATTCAGATCCATTGCTTTGTTCCTCTCTCCATCTGTTATGCTCACTGTTTTCTCAGCACCAACGATGCAGTGTTGGATCAATACAAGCGGGACTACATGGCGCAGCAGCAGCAACTGCAGCAGGAGCAGGAACAGGAGAAGCAGAAGCAGCAGCAGCAGCAGCAGCAGCAGCAGCAGCAGCAGCAGCAGCAGCAGCAGCAGCAGCAGCAACAACAACAATAGCATTGTAACTGCAAATTTCAATGGTAGCTGCATTAGCAAGACCAATAATAAATTACCGTACCGCATTTGAAACAAAACATCAGCAACAGTTAGGAGGAGCAGCAGCTGCTGCTACATGCTACTCACCCATGCAACTCCATTTTTTGCAACGAATTCCTTTCTTTTAGGCAGTGTATTCTTCTTATCTTGGGTGTTTTGTGTTACTTTGAAGAATTACAATGCTATGCGCCACGGAAGCTCCAGAGGCAGCTACAGCTCCAGGAAGCTGGAAATCTGCAAAGGTTATGAATGGTTTTGAAATTGTGCATTCATGAAAGCCTATGTAACTAAAATCAGAACAGCAGTAGCTGAAGCAGGTCCTACGCATGTGATGTGAAGCACGCCTAAATTCAAGAAGCTACACCACGCACACAAAGACACAACCAGCCTTGCCATTGTCACATCAGCCGCATCTAAAAAGCAGCAGCACTCGTCGTCTTCTGGACCAGACAGCACCAGCACTCCCATTTGCCACTGCACTCCTCTTTGCCACTTGACTATGCAGCAGCAGCGACAGCTGCACCTGTTGAATCGCTAAGCAGCAGCTCCCGCCGTCCACTAAGCAGCAGCGCCGTCAGCAGCAGGCGCCGGCTCCCCCGAGTGCTGGCGCAACACCATGAGTGCCTCCTCCACCTTGGCCAGGAGGGCGTCTGGTGACTCCAAGAGAAGCAGCAACTCGCTGTTGTCCATTTCGAGGAGCATTCCCGTGATCTTACCCGCCAGCTCCGGCTGTGGTGAGGTGGGAAACAAGGGAGCAGGGGGGGTAGAGGAGAGGGATTGAGCTACAGTAGTTTTGAGGCGCCTCAAAACTAGAGGAGAGGGATTGAGCCTCAGTAGCACGGTGATTCCAGCAGTAGCAGAAGCAGCTCGCTGTTGTCCATCTCCACAGCATTCTTGTGATCTTACCCGCCAGCTCCGGCTGTTTAAGGGAGGATGTGAGAAGGGAAGTAGAGGGGACGAAAAAAATTGAGTCGCAGTAGCATTGTGTTCCCAACAGCGGCAACATGCCCACATAGTAGAGGTAGTGTTTTGAGGCGTCTCAAAACACTACTTCTATCACGTAATTTTACCCCCATTAACCCCCACTCCCCTCCCCCCCCCCCCCCCCCCCCCCCCCCCCCCTCCCCCCCCAACCCCCTTCCCAAGCTCATCAAGGCCTATACCTGCTTCATGGCTAAAGTCTTTAAACCCCAACTTGCCCGTTCCTCTCTCCCCTCCTTCACTCGCCACCCTTTCAGCTCTCCTGATGCTGCTGAAAGAGGTGCTCTCACGGCACCTGCTGCGGAGAAGATTCAATTGCACTTGACCTGAAAGCACCCACTTATTCCCCCCACTTACTGCTCCATACCTACCTACACCCCTCAGTACTCCCTTTCAGCTCACCTGATGCTGCTGGATGAGGGGGAAGAGACGCTCTCCCAGCATCTGCTTCTGCGTCAACTGAAGCGCATTTAACCGTACAGCACCCATTTCTAACACTGTCGTTCCCCCTTAGTACCCCTCATTATCCCTTACAACCCACCTGATGCTGCTGGATGAGTGGGAAGAGGCGCTCCCCCAGCATCTGCTTCTGCTGGGCGGGCGGAGCTGCAGCGAGGGCCGTCGGATTGAGAGGATCGGACGGCAGAGGCATGGGCGCAGCAGGAGGGACCACGCCTGGTGCCATGGGCACTGGCACAACCGGCACTGGGACCGCCCCCATGGGGAGCATCTGGGGGGATAGAGAGGCAGGGGGGGAGGCATGAGGAAGAGAGATGGAAGGAAGAGAGAGAGAGAGCGCAAGGACGAGAGAGGCAGCAGGAGGGACCACACCCAGTGAGAATTCTCAAAAGTTCAATCAACGTCACTGGCACCACCAGCACTAGCACGAACCCCCATGGGGAGCATCTGGGGTGAAGCACGACTGGGGAAATGAGGAGAAACAGCAAACGAGGGGTGAATGAGTGGCCTTTTAACATGACATAAAGGGGGCGCAGAGGCAGGATAGGGAGAGGAGGGAGCAGAGAAAGTAGAGGCAGGAGAGGTAGGGAAGTGGGCGCAGAGGCAGAAGAGGGAGCAGAGGAAGCAGAGGTAGGGAAGGGAGTAGAGGAAGCAGAGGCAGAAAAAGGGAGCAGAAAAAGCAGGGGGAGACTAAGAGGGAGCACCAGGACTGGAACAGCCCACTAAGCCACAACATACAATCCACCCGCCCCATCCCTCATATTTCCCCTCCACCCCATCCCTCCCATTTCCCCCCCATCACCGCCAATCCATCCTCCATCCCCCCCCCCCCTCATTTCCCCCCATTGCCCCCTGCCGCTCACCTGCTGCGGCTGCTGCCCCTGCTGTGGTCGCCCCCGCCCCTGGCGCTGACGCGGACCAATGGAGGCCTGGGGGACGAGGAGGGGGACGGGGGAGGCGGGGAAAAAGGGGGAAGCATGGGAAAGGGGGAAAGCAGGAAGAAAAGGGGGAAGGCGGAAATGAGGTAGCTGCCCCTGCTGTGGTCGCCCCCACCCCTTCTGCTGGCACGACCAATGGACGCTTGAGAAGATGAAGGGAGAAGGGGGGGGTGGGAGGGGAATGGGGGGGTAGAGGAGGGGAATGGGGGGGTAGAGGACTAAGGCGGGGGGAGGAGGGGAAGCGGGAAACGTGGAGCATGAATCGGGGAACAGGAGGACCAGGAGGATATGAGGAGCATGAAAAAACAGGGGGAATTAACCCTAATGGACTGCAGGCTGTGGGGAAGAGGCGCATAAACACCCTGCTTCCCCTCCCTCCGCTGTTGCCCCAGTTGCCTTGCCCCACCCTGTTGCCCCACCCTGTAGCAGCGCCACTCACATTGTAGTTGGGCATGGCCCCCTACATGCGCCTCGCCCCATCATCTGTGGACAAACCACCCCCTGCCCCCTGCCCCCTGCCCCCTGCCCCCTGGCTCTGCCCCTGCCCCTGTGCTTGCCCCTGTGCCTGCCCCTGTGCCTGCGCCTGCCCCAGCCCCAGCCCCAGCCCCAGCCCCAGCCCCAGCCCCAGCCCCAGCCCCAGCCCCAGCCCCAGCCCCAGCCTCAGCCCCAGCCCCAGCCCCAGCCCCTGCCCCTGCCCCTGCCCCAGCCCCTGCCCCAGCCCCTGCCCTTTTCCCCCAGCACTTCACGCCTGAGCCTGCCTCTCATGTAACCCACATTGTAACCAGGCCACTCATTTGTAGTTGGACATGGGTTGGAACCCTCCTCTCGGCATGGGCCCCCTCCAAGCGCCCCGACCCATCATTTGCGGATACACCACGCCTTGCCCCTGCCCCTGCCCCTGCCCCTGTTCCGCCCCATACCCCTCCTCATGTAACAAGACTACTCACATTGTAGTTGGGCATGGGTTGGAACCCTCCTCGCGGCATGGGCCCCCTCCAAGCGCCCCGCCCCATCATCTGCGGATACACCACCCCCTGCCCCTGCCTCTGCGCCTGCCCCTGCGCGCCCGCCCCTCCCGCCAGCACCCCTGGGGGAGGCGCAGCATAGAAGATCGGCGCACCAGGGGGGAACATGGGAGCACCAGGGGGCATCCCCCCCGGCCCCCCTGCCACCCCGGGGATAGGTCCCCCAGCAGCAGCGGCGGCAGCGGCGGCGGCAGCTGCAGCAGCGGCGTTGGGGGGGAGAACTGCGCCTGGGGGGAGGGCTGCGCCTGGGGGAAGGACGCCCGGGGGGAGCGCGCCCCTGAGCGCGAACTGCTGCTGCAGCTGCGCCTGGCGCACCTCCTTGCGCTGGGCTAGCGCCACGTAGAGGGGCCGGCCGTTCACCAGACGACCTGGGGAGCGAAGGGGAAGAGAGGGGCGGGCGGGAGGAATCGGAAGCGGAGGGGAGGGCGGAAGGGTGCAGTGTGGGAGAGGGATGTGGGAGAGGGAGCAGGCAGGAAAAGAGAGGGTGAGCTGGAATGTCTTAGGCATGCTTCCATGCCCCATATGGAAGAATGCATGGTGCATGCAGGAACTGCTGCTGCAGCTGCGCCTGGCACACCTCCTTGCGCTGGGCTAGCGCCACGTAGAGCGGACGCCCGTTCACCAGACGACCTATGGGGGAGAGGGGCGGGAGGAAGGGGTGAGAGAATGCGGAGGAGTGAGGGGAGGGGGAGGGGTGGGAAAGGTGAGGGTGGAGGAGGGCCAGGGAGGGGAAGAGGGAGCAAATGGAAGAGGGAGGAAATGGGAGAGGGAGGAAATGGGAGAGGGAGGAAATGGGAGAGGGAGGAAATGGGAGAGGGCGAAGCTTCAACCAAGACCTGAAACCCAAACCCATACCCCGCCTCACTACAGACTGCCCCTTGCAGTCTCTCACCATCCGCCTCCGTGAATGCACGGCTGGCCTCATCAGTGTCGAAAAAGCACAGAAACCCCAACCCAACACAGTCGTTCCAAACCCGAAACCCCGAACCCCAGCCTCATACCCCTGACAATCGCACAACCCCTTAACAACACTCACCATTGGCCTCCATGATGGCGCGGCTGGCCTCATCAGTGTTGGAGAAGCACACGAAGCCAAAGCCCCGGCTGGTGCCCTTGTCGTCACGCATCACCTTGGCCGACGTGATCGCTCCAAACGGGGCAAACTCCGCCATAAGTCTGTCGTCATCCACTGCCTCCTCAAGATTCTTCACGTACAGGTTGGTGGTCTGATGGTGGGGGAGGGAATGGGTGTGGAAGAGGGGGGGGGAGGGGAGAGGAGGGGGTGCTATCACGCATCACCTTGGCCGACGTGATCGCTCCAAATGGGGCAAACTCAGCCATGAGCCTGTCGTCATCCACCGCCTCCTCGAGATTCTTCACGTACAGGTTGGTGGTCTGCGCAGTGGGGGGAGGGGAAATGGGCGCGGGAGAAAGAGGGAGGGGGGGGGGGGGGGGGGGGGGAGGGGGGGTCGATGCGCATCTTCTCGGCTGACATGATCGCTTTAAGCCCGAAAAACTCGGTTAGTACTCAACCCTCAGGCTAATGCCTGCCATCCCTTCCCCCTCACACTCGTAAATTCATCGGCAACACAATCCCCTTCCCTCCCCGCCCACTCCCCTTCCCCTTCCCGCTCACACCTTTTCCGTTATATAATCACCTGAAAGCATTGCAGGAGCTCCACATTCCCTTCCCTACCATTCCCCTCCCCCCTTACAGTCACACAGAGTGACCAAGTCCCCTCTCTGTCCTCCCTTCCCCCCGTCTCCCCTAGACAATCACCTGGAAGCGCTGGAGCCGCTCCATCTTCTTCTCCTCGTACTGGCTGCGCAGCATCTGTTCTCTCTCCGACTTCTTCTGTGCTCGTGCCACCAGAATCGCCTTCGAACCTGGGAAAGCAGAGGAGAAGGAGTAGGGTAGGAGGGTCCTGTAAGTTGACAAACCCAAAGCCCTCGGAAACCCCCGCACCGCCACCATTTGAAACGAGTCAAAGGCACTTGCAAACTCTAGAATTCAAAAAGGCACGCACCGAACCGCGCGTTGCTAAGCCTCTCAACGGCTTCATGGGCACCGCCCAGGTTCTGGAATTTGACAAACCCAAAGCCCTTGTTTCAAGGCATCACTCAATGCACATCACTCTATGAGCCGTCTTAGCAGCAAATAAGTGAGGCGGACTCAACACGCACCGAACTGCGCGTTGTTGAGCTTCTCAACGGCTCCTGGGCGCTGGCGGGGTCCTGGAAGTTGACAAACCCAAAGCCCTTGGAGGCCCCCGCATCATCGCGCATCACGACGGCGTTGGTGATGGGGCTGATTTCGGAGAAGCGGGCGGAGAGCTGCTCCTCCGTCCGTGCGATGCAGGTTCAAGCCCCACCCAGGACGTAAAGTCTCAAGTCAACAAGTCTTATATACATTAAGAATTAAGAACAAAACGCACCGAACTGCGCGTTGTTGAGCTTTTCAACGGCCTCCTGGGCGCTGGCGGGGTCCTGGAAGTTGACAAACCCAAAGCCCTTGGACACCCCCGCGTCGTCGCGCATCACGACGGCGTTGGTGATGGGCCCGATCTCGGAGAAGCGAGCGGAGAGCTGCTCCTCGGTGACGTCGGGCGCGAGGTTTCTGACAAACACGTTGGTGAACCGCGCCTGCTGCCCGTCCGAGTCCCTCTCGCCGCGCTTCAGGAACTTGCCCACGAAGCTGTGGGGGAAGGGCGGGTGGGGAAAGGGGGGGGGGGGGGAGCGCGGGCGGAGGAGAGGGAAGGGGGCGTGAGGAGGGGAAGGGGAGGAAGGGCAGGGAAAGGGGAAGTGGGGGAAGGGGATCCGGGTAGGGGCGTCATGGACTCATGCGGGGAAGAGGCGGGGAAGATGAGAGAAGGGGAGTTCAAGAATCATTGTAGCCATAACCCCGAAAAGAGCCAACTCCAATCAATCCCAGTCAGCCACAGTCAACCTCAGGCAACCGGCAGACGACCGCATATAAACCCAGTAAAACCCAGTTAACTGCTATCAGCCCCAGTAAGCGCCAGTCAACGCCAGTCAACGGCACTCACACTTTCTTGCCCTCCACGAGCATGCCGTTGACCTTCTCGATCGCCAGGTTGGCCGCCTCCTCCGTCTCGAAGTGCACGAAGCCGTACCCCTTGCTCTTGCCCTCGGGCGCACCCCTTCCCCTGATCTTATCTCCCCCTCCCTTCCCCCCTTTTTCCCATGCCTCTCCTGCCCTCGGGCTGTGCAGTGTAGAAAATTCAGTCCCAGTCAACCCCAGTCAACCGCAGTCAACGGCAGTCAACGCCAGTCAACGCCAGTCAACGGCACTCACACTTTCTTGCCCTCCACGAGCATGCCGTTGACCTTCTCAATGGCCAGGTTGGCCGCCTCCTCCGTCTCGAAGTGCACGAAGCCGTACCCCTTGCTCTTGTCCTCGGGCGCACCCCTTCCCCTGATCCTATCCCCCCCACCCTTCCCACATTTTTCCCATGCCTCTCCTGCCCTCGGGCTGTGCAGTGTAGAAAATTCAGTCCCAGTCAACCCCAGTCAACGGCAGTCAACGCCAGTCAACGCCAGTCAACGGCACTCACACTTTCTTGCCCTCCACGAGCATGCCGTTGACCTTCTCGATCGCCAGGTTGGCCGCCTCCTCCGTCTCGAAGTGCACGAAGCCGTACCCCTTGCTCTTGCCCTCGGGCGTCACGGCGATCTTGCACGACCAGATGGGGCCGAACGCGCTGAACGTGTCGTGCAGCGCCTTGTGGTCGATCGACTCGTCCAGGTTCTGAGGGGTGGGGAGGGGCGGGGGAAAGGGAAGAGAAAAATGGCAGGGAGGAAGCGAGAAGAGACGTTGGTTTGGCCCCCATTCGCGCCTTCTATGACCAGATGGGGCCGAACGCGCAGAACATGTCGTGCAGCGCCTTGTGGTCGATCCACTCGTCCAGGTTCTGGGGGGTTGGGAGAAGAAGAAGGGGGGAGGGAGTAGGGGGGCAGGGGGTGGGGTGGTAAAAGAGGCATCAAACGCACATCGCTTGGTGGTCAATCAACTAGTCCAGGTTCTAGGAGAGCGAGAGGCAGGCGGGAGCAACAGAAGGGAAAGGTGGGCGGGGGGGAAAGGGGAAATCTGGGAAGGGAGAGGGGAGGGAGGAAAAGCAGCGAGGAAGCGGGGTGGGAGCGGCGGGAGCGGGGAGGGAGCGTGGTGAGCGGGGAGGGGACGGGTAGGCGGCGGGAAGTGAGCACCGATATGTCACCACTCGCACCAGCTGTCTTGGTTTTGCCCCAACCGCACCGCACCTCAACAAACCCGTTCCAAACGCCGCTGCAGCAATGACTTAGGTGGCCGTGGGACCCCTAGCTATTCACGAAACCGTTACCACAGGTTATCGAACAGGTAACACTTCGCACCTTGATGAAGATGTTTCCGACGCCGCTGCGGCGGTGGCTGGGGTCGCGGTGGGACCACATGATGCGGATCGGCCGCCCGTTCACCTCGCGGTAGTTCAGCGCCTCCATTGCGCGCTCCGCTGCGCGGAGGAGGTGCGGGAGAGTGGGGAAAGAGGGGAGGAGAGGGGACGAGAGGAGAAGGGAGGTGAGGCGGAAAGCAAGACGGCAGATGAGTTCAACTCGCGGTGGTTCAGCGCCTCCATTGCGCGCTCCGCTGGCGGAGGGGCGGGGGGAAACGGGGGCACGGGAGGCGGGAAGGGCGGGGGAGGGGAGCGGAAGGCGGAGGGGGAGGACGCGCAAGGGTGCGGAGGGACGAGAGGCGCGCGCGGGTGGCGGAGGGATGACAGGCGCGCACCGGTGGGGAGAGCCATGGACAAGGCGGGGGTTCCGATGGAGAGAGCGAGAGGTAAACGGGGACTGAGATGCAGATAGGCGACTGGGAAAATTCCGGAAATCCTTAATAACTCTGAAGAAACTCCTTTTCTATGTGGAGGCAGAGGGATCGAGGGTCGACAGGCTAGCGACACAGGAAGGCTGGTGGTTTGGTTCACGAAAGCGCCATTCGCAGAAACGCGATTCGTAGAAACGCGAGTCGCGGAAACAAACACTTTCATGGCGAGGCATTCCCAATGGCGAGATACCAGCGGCGGTGCGATACAAGTTGGCGGAGGTCTACAGTATGCCGGAGAGACGGCGGAGGTCTACAGTATGCCGGAGAGACGGCGGAGGTCTACAGTATGCCGGAGAGACGGCGGAGGTCTACAGTATGCCGGAGAGACGGCGGAGGTCTACAGTATGCCGGAGAGACGGCGGAGGTCTACAAGATGCTGGAAAATCGGCGGAAGCCTACAGTTGGCGGAAGGATACCGTTGGCGGAAGTCTACAGTTGGCGGAAGTCTACAGTTGGCGGAAGTGTACAATTGGCGGAAGTCTAAATTTGGTGGATGTCTACAGTAGAAGGAAGCCTTCTGTAGGAGAATTTTAGCTGTAGTAACGCCTTACCTGCATGCTCTGTTGAAGCAAAGATCCACACGAGAACGAAGCGGCAGGATCGAGGACGTGTTTCACGCGGACATGGAAGGGCACGCAGGGGCGGGAGAGAGAAACGTAGGGGGCACGGGGCGGAAAGAGGGGAAAGATGAGACGGAAGGTAGGTTCGGAGAATCCAAGCTAGGAAGCAAATGCAACGAAATCGCAAGTCAGACAGAACAGGCTCAGCTGCTGATGCTGCGAATCGGCCGCCATGACATTCACATTTTTCAGATGAACCATGCGTACGGGTTGCTAGATGTTCCAGAACCACTCTTGATGTTCGAATCGGATGGGACCTTCAATGACTCTTACCTTGGATTGCTAGAGTACGTACGACGGCAACAGAGGCAAGCAGGGCAAAGGTGAAGGAAGGAAAAGCAACGCACGTGGGCAGCTGCAGTAACAGAGCACAACGTTACCTAAATCAACGATAAAGAGAAAAACTTTGAAATTTCTTACGAATGCATGGCAAACGCCGACCGTATAGCCTAAAGCAGCAGCAGCGCGTCGCCAGAAAACCAGCACGGGTAAGGACGCCGATCGCGTCACAATTCACTCAAATTGATTTCCAGAGAGGGAGGGACGCGAGAAATGAAATCTAACCGACCGTAGTGTAGGAGGGAGTAATTGACGTGTGAGTGCTTTGAGATACCTCCGTGATATAGACCAGGGACGGAAAACACACTATACACCGGGGAAAGAAGAAATGGAGAGAGCGAGGGATCTACCGGTTGACGGTGCTGTTGCGGTTGGCGAAGGCAATTTCTAAAGCGACTACGAAAGGGAGGAAGAGGACTGACCGTCGACGGCGCTGTTGTAGTTGACGTAGGCGTAGCCCAGCGAGCGGCGCGTGACGGCGTCACGGCAGACGCGGATGGACGCGACGGGGCCGACCTGGCTGAAGAGCTCGTACAGCTGCGCCTCCGTCACCTCCTTGTCCAGATCGCCCACGTACAGCGACGCCGACGGCGCTGCAGCTCCCGCGGTAGCCATGGCTTCTCGAGAGTTTAAAAGAGGGATAAAGCGGTTGAGAACGGTTTCACGAGAACGGAACTTTGGTAAAACTGCCTGTTCCGGGGAATTAGTGCTGCGATATGGTTATTCCAGAAGTGTTGGCTCCGATGGGACTGATGCTTAATGACCTGATCTGCTCCGGTACAGAATCGATACTGAACTAGGGCTGGGGAGAATTAAGCCCTAACGTCCGATCTAAGATCGGAAACCAAAAACCGCTACTGGGACCTCGCGTGTTTCTGGCCTAATTTTCTGGTTTTCTATATTTTTTTGTGGGTTTCTAGACAGAACGAGGGACCTCGATGCGACTCTTTTTTTTTGGCTTTTCTAGTTTAAATCCCCGAGGGGAAGGGGAGAAGAGAGTCAGAGACTCATAGGAGGCAACAGAAGCAACCTGCAGGCATAGCCCAGGCAGGATGACGTTCCTCGGTGAAGCTAGGGTTCTGGTCGGGGTTTCCAGAAGGAAGGGAGAAGAGAGTGATGAGAGGGACCTCGGGACTATCTAAAGAGGGTGGAGAGGGAAGCGAAAATTTCCGTTTTGGGACTCTCCGTTACTGAGACACTATTCGTCGGACAAAGGCATTCCAGCAGTAGCGGATGCTGTGTGGTTATCGAGTGGACTTCTTCCGCGTCAGAATCTTCGATGATTCCGAGGTTGCTCACCCAGCCATGATTGGATGGTGGAGAAGACGAGAGCCGTATCTCCGTTTCAAACCTCTTCCCTACAGTCCCTTCAAGAAGTTCGTTTCCAACCCATATAACGATGTTCAGGCGTGTGAGCTGCTAGCTAGTAAATCAAAGCAAGCGCTCCAAAATGCACAGCATCGTACAAAAACGTTTTACAATCCCTGGATGTTTTACAGACCAATCCCAACACCTGATACCACTCTTCGCCTTCAAGTTTACCGTTGGTTTGTGGTCGTGTGTCGTCTGCTGCTGGTAGAAGTCAAATAGCGACAGTCCCGATGCTTCACATAGCCGCTAGAGCTTGTTCATGAGCGACCCTACAAAAGCCAAACTCATCTCACTCATCATTTCCGAGTGGTCCATGAAAAAGTCGTCCTTATATCACTGTAGCAGTTCAGAATGCACCTCTTTTAGAAGCTCCTGACAAGTCAATTCTCGTCTGTTTAGCTCCAATAGAGCCATCTTACCATCGTCCGTGATCGACAGTGCTTGTCTGATCGCTTTCTACTCGACTCAGAGGTCGTCAATGTTCAGACACGCTGTTGATCAACTCCAAACGTTTTGTTGCTTCGACTCAAAAGCACTTCTGGTAGGAGTGTAGCCTCGTTGGTTCGTTATGAACAAGGCTCTATGGCTCGTTAGGCCCGGTTCTCCACGGACGCTGCCTGTGAATGAATTATGATTTCCTGAATGAGCGAGAACTAGTACCGGCTTGCAATGAACAAGGCTTTCCTTCTTGCGCTTGCTCGGATTCACCGCGAGCGCTGGCTGTGAACGAGTATCTCCTGAGTCAGTGATAGCAAGTCCTCTCTCGCAATGAACAAGGCTTTCCTTCTCGCGCTCGCTCGGATTCTCCACGGCGGCTCGCTCCCCCTGCACAACGCCGCGCGCAAGCGGAAGACGAAGCTTCCTGGACGTTGCTGCTCTCCACTCCGCGTGCTGCTGCTGCTCCTGGTGCTGACGGTTGTCAGCGTGGCTCTACTGCTGCGCTCGGTTCAGCTGCAGCAGAAGAACGCAGAGGAGGTGAGGAGAGTGATAGGAATCTCAAAATGACTCCACTCGGACGTCTGGAGCGTGAGGGACACGGAGAGAGTGGGGGAGTGGGGAGCATGGGGAGAATGGGAGAGTGGGGAGAGTGAAGAGCGTAGTTTGATAACCGTGCCACTTACGGTTTTCAGCGTGGCTCTGCTGCTACGATCGGTTCAGCTGCAGCAGAAGAACGCAGAGGAGGTGAGGAGAGGCAGCATTTGGCATTTGAGAAACGACCTTCCGGTACAGTTCCGTTCCCCTCCTCATACTTCCCCTCACCCATAACCCCCGTCTGCCTCCCCTCTTGATTCTTCCACACGCACTACCCTCTTTCGCTTCCCTCTGCCCCTCCTCTCCCCCACTTTTCTTGCCCAGGCGGCCCGAAGGGGTTCATCTGGTACAATGGTTAAGTCTTTCAATGCACCACCACCCTCTTTCAACCCCCCTTTCTTTCTCCCCAGTTCACCCAGGCCGGCCCCAAGGGCTTCAGTTGCTACAGTGCGTCCCGCCTGGGGGACAGACTCTTTCGCTGTGATTGGTCGCCTCCACGCTCGCACACACTTCCCCGGGTGCTCATGGTCTCCATTCCCCCTCCCCCACCTCCCTTCCTTCCGTCACCCAGGCCGGCCCCAAGGGGTTCATCCGCTACAGTGCGTACCGCCTGGGCGGCAGCTCCTTCGCTGTGATTGGTCTGGGGGCGCTGCGCCTCCGCGCTCGCACGCACTTCCCCGGGTGCTCATGGCACGACAATGGGGCCGCCCCGGGGGAAGCGGGGATTCCGGGGAGTGTGGAGGTGTTTTATCCGGGGGAGCACCACGACTTGGAGTATGAAACGGTGGTGCTCAAGTGCTTTCTCAGAGCTGACACTCATGCCACGCAAGGGGGCAAGCTGCTGCTGCAGGTGGGATCGGTTGTTCTGGGTTGAGCTGGGTTAATGTGGTTCTTAGGTTGAGTCACTTCAGGTATCCCAGGGAGCGTGGAGGTATTTTATCCAGGGGAGCACCACGACTTGGAGTATGAAACGGTGGTGCTCAAGTGCTTTCTCAGAGCTGACACTCATGCCACGCAAGGGGGCAAGCTGCTGCTGCAGGTGGGATCGGTTGTTCTGGGTTGAGCTGGGTTAATGTGGTTCTTAGGTTGAGTCACTTCAGGTATCCCAGGGAGCGTGGAGGTATTTTATCCAGGGGAGCACCACGACTTGGAGTATGAAACGGTGGTGCTCAAATGCTTTCTCAGGGCTGACACTCATACCACGCAAGGGGGCAAGCTGCTGCTGCAGGCGAGTTCGGTCGGGCTGGGTTGAGCTGGGTTGGGATGTTTTTTGGGTTGAGTCAGGCATTCGGGGGAGCGTGGAGGTGTTCTATCCGGGGGAGCATCACGACTTGGAGTATGAAACGGTGGTGCTCAAATGCTTCTCAGGGCTGACACTCATACCACGCAAGGGGGCAAGCTGCTGCTGCAGGCGAGTTCGGTTGGGCTGGGTTGAGCTGGGTTGGGATGTTTTTTGGGTTGAGTCAGGCATTCGGGGGAGCGTGGAGGTGTTCTATCCGGGGAAGCATCACGACTTGGAGTATGAAACGGTGGTGCTTAAGTGCTTTCTCATCGCCACTCATGCCTTGCAAAGAAGAAAGCTGCTGCTGCAGGTGGGTTGGGCTGGACTGGGATGGGTAAGGTTGGGTTCGGTTGGGTTAGGTTGGGTTGGGTTGGGTTAGATATTGCTGGTTTTCCTGGAGCCCCATTTCCCCTTAGAAGCATATCTGTGCCACTCGCCACAGCTTCTCCTCTCCCCTGCCCTGCCCTGCAATCACACCATCACACCAGGTGCAAGTGCAAGCCACGCATGGGTCGCGGGTCATATCAGTCAACACACAGCAGCTAGTCGCCTACCACGAGCCGCCCAACGCCTTTCCTGTCTCCCTGGAGCCGCATCCCCCTTATAAGCACCGCGTGGCGTTCTGCTCTCCTCCAGTACACTCGGAACTGGACGGGAGGAGGCTGTACGAGTGGCTGGAGTATCATTACCATCTGGGCGTGGATTACTCGATCATGTATGATGCAGGGGGCATTGACGACGAAGTTACCCAAGTGAGTGCTCTGCCTCATCACATAGGAGCAGTTTGGCATGGGAATATGACAGTGGTAGGAGGAGGCTGTACGAGTGGCTGGAGTATCATTACCATCTGGGCGTGGATTACTCGATCATGTATGATGCAGGGGGCATTGACGACGAAGTTACCCGAGTGCTCTGCCTCATCACATAGGAGCAGTTTGGCATGGGAATATGGCAGTTGTAGGAGGAGGCTGTACGAGTGGTTGGAGTATCATTACCATCTGGGAGTGGGCTACTCGATCATGTATGATGCAGGGGGGATGGACGATGAAGTCACTCAGGTGCGCCAGGTGTCTGCTTGGGTGTGTATTTGGTTGTGACACGGTGGCATGTATGGATGGATGCACGGCAGTCTGGCAGTGGTAAGAGTGGCTGAAGAGTATCATTACCATCTGGGCGTGGATTGCTCGATCATGTATGATGCAGGGGGGATCGATGACGAGGTCACTCAGGTGAGCCACATGTGTCCCTGGATGTATTCATGTGTGACATGGTGGCATGGTGGCACGGCAGTTTGGCAGTGGTAAGACGAGGGGACTTGGAACTCACCACTGGACGGGAGGAGGTTGCACGAGTGGCTGGACTACCATTACCATCTGGGCGTGGATTACTCGATCATGTATGATGCAGGGGGGATCGACGACAAAGTCACTTGGGTGAGCCCATGGGGCCCCAGGTGGCATGTCAGGTGGCATGGCAGTGGTAAGACGAGGTGACTCAGGTGTGTACCATCTTTCCGTGGGTGGGTGTGGTGTGGAGGTCAGAAGAACTCTTTTTGTCAATCTAAAAAAGGCACCTTGCCCTCTTCACGGTTCCCCTGGCAGGTGCTGATACCATACGAGCAGGAAGGCCTGCTGGAGGTCAGAGATATTGGGGACTTTCTGGAGTACGAAACGTGGCTCTATGCCCAGGTGCGTTCCCTGGAGTGTAGGGTTGGGGTGAGGGTGAGGGTGAGGAGGAAGGTGAGGGTGAGTGGACTCATAACAAATGTGGAGGTCAGAGATATTGGGGATGTCCTGGAGTATGAAACGTGGCTCTATGCCCAGGTGCGTGTTGAAGGGGTGGTGGTGAGGGTGAGTTTGGGGATGTTGAATTGAAATCACTTTTGAGTATTCTCAAAAGGGGTGGTGGTGAGGGTGAGTTTGGGGATGTTGAATTGAAATCACTTTTGAGTATTCTCAAAAGGGGTGGTGGTGAGGGTGAGTTTGGGGATGTTGAATTGAAATCACTTTTGAGTATTCTCAAAAGGGGTGGTGGTGAGGGTGAGTTTGGGGGTGTTGAATTGAAATCACTTTTGAGTATTCTCAAAAGGGGTGGTGGTGAGGGTAAGTTTGGGGATGTTGAATTGAAATCACTTTTGAGTATTCTCAAAAGGGGTGGTGGTGAGGGTGAGTTTGGGGATGTTGAATTGAAATCACTTTTGAGTATTCTCAAAAGGGGTGGTGGTGAGGGTGAGTTTGGGGATGTTGAATTGAAATCACTTTTGAGTATTCTCAAAAGGGGTGGTGGTGAGGGTGAGTTTGGGGGTGTTGAATTGAAATCACTTTTGAGTATTCTCAAAAGGGGTGGTGGTGAGGGTAAGTTTGGGGATGTTGAATTGAAATCACTTTTGAGTATTCTCAAAAGGGGTGGTGGTGAGGATGAGTTTGGGGATGAGGGTGGGGGTGGGGTTTCCGCCAAGTGAACACATGAGGAGCACTTGAGAGCTCATCAGCGTGGGTGCGCTTCCATCTATCCGTCTTCCTCTCACATGCCACACAGGTGATGGTGGTGAACGACTGTGCATACAGCACGCGCTTCTCAGCCAAGTGGACTCTCTTCTTCGACCTCGACGAGTTCTTCAACGCCGATGACCCGCCCCCACCCCAGAAGGTATGTCCTCATGGCGTGACAAGCTCTCTTCCAGTGAGAGATGCTACTCTGCCGAATGGACTCTCTTCTTTGATCTCGATGACTTGGTTCTTCAGCGCTGACGACCCACCCCCGCCCCAGAAGGTAACTACTCTCGCAGCATGGCATGCCTAGAAAGCCCCAACTTCCTGCCTTACCTGTAAGGCGGCCAGCCCCTCCCCCAGTGGGGCTGTTGCTACTCAGCCGAATGGACTTTCTTCTTCGATCAAAAGGTGACTTTTGAGGCGCCTCAAAAGGTGACTTTTGAGGCGACTCAAAAGTCACCTCAGCCGAATGGACTTTTGTCTTTGATCCCGATGAATTCTTCAACGCTGATGACCCGCCCCCGCCACAGAAAGTACCCACCATGTCTATCGTTTTTCATGGTACGTTGCTGCCTGCCCCAAAAGGTACACCAGGAGTACTGGCACCGGCAGACTTCTGGGTGGCTGTTGAGGCGCCATAGAGTTGATGCCATGAAGCACTGTCGCCGGCAGCTGTAGCATGTCCAGTGAAGCGCAATACCCCTGCACGCACCACTGCACTCTGCTGCCCCGCCCCGCCCATACCCCCCGTCCCTTCTCCATATCACTCCCGTCCCGTCCTTCCTGCTTACTCCACCCAAGGCAGAAGGGAAGCTCGCTCACACCCATGTGCTGGCCAGTGGCCACTCAGCTAGACGCTATGGCACACTGGCACCTGCAGCTGCCGTGGGTGGACAGGAGTGCTGGTGGTATCCACCCAATGCCCATACACACACCTCTTTACTCCTCTATCCCCCTCTTCCCGTTATCAGGTGGAAGGGAAGCTCACACGCATGTGCTGACCACTCAGCTAGACGCTATGGCACACTGGCACCAACAGCTGTGATGGTTGCACTGAAACTCAATGCCCATGCACGACAATGCCCTATGCCCTCCGTATCATACCCCAGGTTGAGGCCCACACCCAAGTGCTGGCCACACAGCTAGATGCAATGGAGCACCGGCACTGGCAGCTGTCGCGGCTGCACGCATTGGTGGTGATTGCACCCTCGCAATACCCATGCACGCACCACCCGACTCCTCTATCCCCATTTTTCCCTTATCTAGGTTGAAGCTCACACCCACGTGTTAGCCACACAGCTAGACGCCATGGAGCACTGGCCCTGGCAGCTGTGACTGCTGGACTGGAATGGTGGTGGTACAGCAGTCACAGCTGCCGGTCCCAATGCCCATGCACACGCCTCTTTGCTCCTCTACCCCCGTCGTCCCCTCAACTAGCTCACACCCACGTTTTAGCCATACAACTCGATGCCATGGCACTGGCAGCTACCGTGACTGCAGTGACACACGATGCCCGTACAATCACGCTCTTGCTCCTGTGCCCCCTTCCATTCTCTATCTCACCCCAGGTGGAGGCTCACACCCACGTGTTAGTCACACAGCTAGACGCCATGGAGCACTGGCACCGGCAGCTGTCGCAGCTGCAGTGGAGCGGTGGTACCTACCCTCCCAATGCTCCCCCTCATACTCCCCCTTGCTCCCGTTACCCCGATTTCCCTTATCTAGGTTGAGGCCCACACTCACGTGCTGGCCACACAGCTAGACGCCATGGAGCACTGGCACCGGCAGCTGTCGCGGCTGTAGTGATGGCACCCAACAACCCATTGCCCATACGCTCACTCCTTGCTCCTGTGTTCCCATACCCCCCGTCCTCCCCTTATCTAGGTTCAAACTTCAAGGCCACACCCACATGCTGGCCACGCAGCTAGACGCCATGGAGCACTGGCACTGGCAGCTGCAGCGGCTGTAGTGATGGCACCCATCCAGTGTTGCTCCTGTGTTTCCCCCACACTGTAGGTGGAAGCCCACACCCACGTGTTGGCCACACAACTAGACGCCATGGAGCACTGGCACCGGCAGCTGTCCTGGCTCCTGTGCCCCGCCCAAATCCAACCCCCATTTGTTCCTCTGTTCCGCCGTACTCTAGGTGGAAGCCCACACGCATGTCTTGGCCACACAACTAGACGCCATGGAGCACTGGCACCGGCAGCTGCAGCGGCTGCGGAAGCGGTTCGCGCGGGAGAGAAGGATGGAGCCGAGACGACAGAGGGAGATGGAGGAGGAAGAGGAGGAGAAGTGGGAGGATAAGGAAGGGGAGCGGAGGCATGGACGGGAAGGAAAAAGGGGAAAGGAAGTGGGGACGGGTTGGGATGGGATGGATGCGAGGAGGTGGATTGAAGTAGAGGGGGAGGATGAGGGGGATGAGGAAGCGGAGCTTGAAGGAGGGGAGGTAGGAGCAGGAGGAGTTTCAGGTGGAGGCTCAGGTAAAAACAACAGAGAAGCGTCAGCAGCAGTAGGAGCGGCAGGAGCCGCAGCAGTGGCAAAGGCGGCAGGGCAAGGGCTTGCGCACCGAACACGCATCTCTTTGGAGCAAAGACGGGCAGCAGAGCAGGCAGAGGAAGCAAACAACAGGCAAAACAGCACAAAAATCGGGAAAGAAACCGCAAAGGCTTGGCAACAGCGCGTAGCACGGCAGATGAGGGAGCAATACAGGAAGCTCCGAGCGCGGAGAAAAGAGGACGAGACGGAGGAGGAGAAGGAGAAGCTTCCTGGGGAGGCGGAGCAGCAGCGGCACCTGCAGCAGCAGGAGGCGGAGCAGCAGAGTCAGATGGAGGTGATTCGCGCATACAGGGAGCATCTGAAGCGCACTGCAGGCGACCAGAGGCTCATTCCGCTCGTGCTCGAGTCGTATGACGGCGCCTCGTACCTGTCGCTTGGCACCCTGTGGTGGGACACCGAGAGGTGGGTGGATTGTCGGAGGGTAATGTAGGCCCCCTCTCATGCCTCCCCATATGCCTCCTCTCATCCCGCTCGTGCTGGAGTCGTATGACGGCGCGTCGTACCTGTCGCTGGGCACCCTGTGGTGGGACACTGAGAGGTGAGCTGCTCGTCTCAGTATAGGTGTCTCAGCCTCCTTCCAGTTGAGAGGTGGCGACCAGAGGCTCATTCCACTCGTGCTCGAGTCGTACGATGGGGCGTCGTACCTGTTGCTGGGGACTCTGTGGTGGGACACTGAGAGGTGGGTGGGTATTGTCTTTCTCCTATCATTCCGCTCGTGCTGGAGTTGTACGATGGGGCGTCGTACCTGTCTCTTGGCACCCTGTGGTGGGACACTGAGAGGTGAGAGAGGGTCTTGTGTGGGGGCGCTGTACCCTTCTTCGCATGCCTCCTCCCATTCCGCTCATGCTGGAGTCGTACGATGGGGCGTCGTACCTGTCTCTTGGCACCCTGTGGTGGGACACTGAGAGGTGAGAGAGGGTCTTGTGTGGGGGCGCTGTACCCTTCTTCGCATGCCTCCTCCCATTCCGCTCATGCTCGAATCGTATGATGGCGCGTCGTACCTGTCTCTTGGCACCCTGTGGTGGGACACTGAGAGGTGAGAGAGGGTCTTGTGTGGGGGCGCTGTACCCTTCTTTGCATGCCTCCTCCCATTCCGCTCATGCTCGAATCGTATGATGGCGCGTCGTACCTGTCTCTTGGCACCCTGTGGTGGGACACTGAGAGGTGAGAGAGGGTCTTGTGTGGGGGCGCTGTACCCTTCTTCGCATGCCTCCTCCCATTCCGCTCATGCTGGAGTCGTACGATGGGGCGTCGTACCTGTCTCTTGGCACCCTGTGGTGGGACACTGAGAGGTGAGAGAGGGTCTTGTGTGGGGGCGCTGTACCCTTCTTCGCATGCCTCCTCCCATTCCGCTCATGCTCGAATCGTATGATGGCGCGTCGTACCTGTCTCTTGGCACCCTGTGGTGGGACACTGAGAGGTGAGAGAGGGTCTTGTGTGGGGGCGCTGTACCCTTCTTTGCATGCCTCCTCCCATTCCGCTCATGCTCGAATCGTATGATGGCGCGTCGTACCTGTCTCTTGGCACCCTGTGGTGGGACACTGAGAGGTGAGAGAGGGTCTTGTGTGGGGGCGCTGTACCCTTCTTCGCATGCCTCCTCCCATTCCGCTCATGCTCGAATCGTATGATGGCGCGTCGTACCTGTCTCTTGGCACCCTGTGGTGGGACACTGAGAGGTGAGAGAGGGTCTTGTGTGGGGGCGCTGTACCCTTCTTTGCATGCCTCCTCCCATTCCGCTCATGCTCGAATCGTATGATGGCGCGTCGTACCTGTCTCTTGGCACCCTGTGGTGGGACACTGAGAGGTGAGAGAGGGTCTTGTGTGGGGGCGCTGTACCCTTCTTCGCATGCCTCCTCCCATTCCGCTCATGCTCGAATCGTATGATGGCGCGTCGTACCTGTCTCTTGGCACCCTGTGGTGGGACACTGAGAGGTGAGAGAGGGTCTTGTGTGGGGGCGCTGTACCCTTCTTCGCATGCCTCCTCCCATCCCGCTCATGCTCGAATCGTATGATGGCGCGTCGTACCTGTCTCTTGGCACCCTGTGGTGGGACACTGAGAGGTGAGAGAGGGTCTTGTGTGGGGGCGCTGTACCCTTCTTCGCATGCCTCCTCCCATTCCGCTCATGCTCGAATCGTATGATGGCGCGTCGTACCTGTCTCTTGGCACCCTGTGGTGGGACACTGAGAGGTGAGAGAGGGTCTTGTGTGGGGGCGCTGTACCCTTCTTCGCATGCCTCCTCCCATTCCGCTCATGCTCGAATCGTATGATGGCGCGTCGTACCTGTCTCTTGGCACCCTGTGGTGGGACACCAAGAGGTGAGTGCATTGTGGTGGGGGCGTTGTAAGCCTCTGTGCATGCCTCCTCCCATGCCCATTCCCCCCTCTCATCCCCACTCCATGCCCCCGCCCATGCCCACTCCCATGCCTTCTCCCATGCAACTCACCAGGTGCGTAGACCCATCAGAGGCCAAGGGCACGTGGGGCATTCAGCGCATGTTCTACCACTGGCCGCACATCTACTGCCTCAAACCCGAGCTCTTCCCCAGGTGTGACTGCGGTACAGATGGGTGTGACCATGGTACAGATGGGTGGGGTACTATACAGGTGTGCCGGTGGAGCACATTAATGGTGCAGGGGAGCAGCAGGGGCCAACTGCACATGGGGCATTCATCGCATGTTCTACCACTGGCCACACATCTACTGCCCCAAACCCGAGCTCTTCACCAGGGTGTGTGTGTGTGACCATGTTACATAGGAATGTGAATGAAGCACGTTGGTTGTAAAAGGGCTCCAGGAGAGGCTGATGAGAGAGGGTGGGGCGCTCGTCTAGAGAGGGTTGGGCCATATAGAATTCACTCTGAAGACTTGCACTTTCCATTCAGTCTCCTATTGTAAATCCCCCAACAACCAGGGCTGAGATGTGCTTGGATTACTATGGTCACCGCAAGTACACCATCAACCCTTAGTAATGTGCACACCCATACTCGCCCTTCTTCACCCCTCTGAACTCCCCACACTCCATTTCAACCAGATCTGAGATGTGCCTGGATTACTACGGGCATCGCAAGTACGCGATCAACCTCGAATACGTCTTACGATTCGACTCCTAACACCCATGCTCGCCCTTCCCCATCCCTCTGTATCCACTGCACTGCTCGTCCATCAGGTCTGAGATGTGTTTGGATTATTACGGGCACCGCAAATACGCCATCAACCCGCGGAAGGTCACAGCGCTGCAGATCCACCGCCCAGTGCTTAACGACTCATACGGATTTGATCTCGACACCACTGTAGCAAAACTCAACCATTTTCAGGGCTATGTGCGGCGGGCGAAAATAAACGTGACTATAGAGAGTGGGGATAGTAACGAGACGGCTAGTGTAGTGCAAGAACAGCAGCCTCCTGCATTTTGCTCGCAGATTATTCGCATTGATGAGCCGATTATTTGGTGGGCGAGGGGGCAAGAGATAGGGGAGATTGCTGCTGAGGCTCAGAAGAATCCCCGGGTACCGTTGGATCGTATTGAGAGAGCAGAGATGGAAAGCGGGATGGCTAGAGTAGAGGTGGGAGATACAGAATCATGAAATTTAATGTTCACTGAGGCCGAGGTTTCTACTCTGCCTGGTTAAACCATGGTCAAGTGCATGCAAGATTTCTGTATCCAGACCAGATCTAAAAGCAGTCGACGTCTGGCTGCAACTGCGGGCCTGACACATAAACAATATGGCACATGACTACCGGTATCTCTTACAGCGGCATGCAAACATGATCAGATAGTTCACGAGAGCAGCTGTAGGCAACTACCGGTGTGCAAGGGAAGGTACAAGCAGAAAATGATAGAACTAGGCATAGAGGTTGCTCAGTAAGCAGCCCTCCATGTACTAAACATGTCCCTCCCATGCATATCACTACCGAAATACCTCACAGGCACTACCTGCTTTTATTAGATCAATGGCAACCTATGATACGGTCCTAGCTTTATCTACCTCGCTCTCTACACCTTGTTACACAATAGCACGTCACGGCTTACTGCGTTACGTCCTGACTCACAACTTCCTGCCTTACAAGCACATCACACCCTGGTGCCAGACGGGATCAATATTTTGTTCACGCCATGCGCGACAAAATACGGCCCAGTATAAATCCTTGGAGTCAGAATCGTAGTCCATGCAGCTGCTGGTGCAGTTCTCGCCTTCCCAAAAGACACTCTTGCTCCGTTTAACGGATTCATCTTGTAAAGAGCCTGCTTCAATTGAGTACCCACGGCCTGCCCTGGCTTCAGCGCTTTGAACTGCGGCAGAAAGCGTTTTATGCGTAAGATGTGGAAAGCGGTGATGTTGTAGATTTTAGGGATGTTGGCCGCCTTAAAGGGGAGCTTCTTAAGGAGGGCTTCAGCCTCGGTGTTAGTGGGGATGAGGATGGTCGCGTTGGCGAGCGCTGATAGGTCATACTTGGAATTTACTGGGAAATGATTAGGGGGGATGGGGGGATGGGGTTGGTGTAGGGGGGAAGGGAGATTGGGGTGGGTGCTGACTATGGTGTGATGGGAAGTAAAGCAACAAGGGGAGACAAAGCGCTACTCTTTCAATACAAGAAAGATTACGATACTCGCACTCGAGGCCGATCTCTCTCCTGAATCCGAGAACCGCCGCGTTTCCACGTTTTTAGTGCAACGATAAACTGTAACTACACTAGGCCGATATGTTTCTTGATGGTGCTCGTGTAAGTGTCGTGGGTATGTCTAGGGCGCATCCGATACTTCGTGACGCGTTACTCTGTTAGTACACCGACAGAACCAAAGCCACTTACACGCGAGACCAATATATTTTTTGACCGCGGGTATTTCTTCGCCACGCTGTCCGCCAGCTTCCCCAGCTCCGCCTTCAGCTGCGCCTTTGTCGGACGCGCAACTGCCGCCTCCGCAACACGCGGCGCGAAGGGCGCTAGACAGAGGAGAGCTGCGAGAGCCGCGGCGATCAAAACCCGTCTTTCCATGATTGCGAAGCGGAGTTAATCGTGTAGACAGTGCGGAACACCTTGTTCTTTCCCCTCCAGCTGCGAACTATGACTGCTGCTTACAGCGAGTGATGGATTCAACCGTGGGAGCAATCAGAAAGTATCGAAAAATCAGGACGGAGTGAAGTGCATTTTGTTTCCGAAGGTCCGAACGGAGTATTGGTTGAAAACTCGTTCCGACTACGGATGACCTCTACAGGCTGTCTCGTTTACAATGGAAAGCAAGATCAATATTCAGCGCGCCGCACTGCCATTGCTCTGCGCTGCGCCCAAGATTCACCAGCGGCGATTAGTAGCGAGAATTTCGTCGCTCCCAGCGCCGAGCAACACCAGCAGTGAGCGGCGCTCGCGTTGCGTCGCACGAGGGAGAACTCCCTGGTTCGAGTCGCCATTCTACAGCACGACGTTACAGGCAGCCAGCAAGGGTCGGGCGGACAGCGTTGCGGAACATCAGTCGAGAGTTCGACCTGGTCTTGTTCTTCTTTGTGAAGCTGGGGAGCCAGTGCTGGGGAGGCATGGCATGAATGGGATAGGGTGTCTTGCCCTCCCTCCACCATTCGAAATGGGATGCATTCAGCTGGTCGGTCAGCCGAGCAGTTTCTGCTCCGGCCGACATGGCGGCAGAAGGGGGAGCATTGACGGTGGGCCTGTTTTCGGTCAATCGATAAACAAGTTTACTCAAAATAGGCACCCCAAAGCTAGGGCACTGCAACACGTTACAGAAGGAAATAAACGCTGGGCTTCGGGCATTTTCGACAAGCTGCCCGCCGACAAATGTGCGGTGCCCGACGAAGTGCTGGTTTGGCCGAACAACGTGGCGATATTCACGACGACGAAGTTACAAAGTCGTGGACGTCTTCTGTGATGATGGAGGCGATGGAGGATGTGTTCAACGAGACTGGGAAAATATGTCAATGGTAACTTACATGGGGAACTATAACGCGTTTGGTAACTCGCTTAACGCGTTTGGTAACTCGCTTAACACGTTTGGTAACTCGCTTAACGCGTATGGTAACTTAGCACAGGCGAGTGATCACGCGAATGGTAACTACATGAAACTCCCGCCGAAATGATCCTGAAATAGAGGAATTTATCGAGTTTGAAAGCTTTTACGCACAGTTCTATCTTTCTTGAACAAGTCCCGCCGCGACTTTGAAGGACCCCGTTTGTTCTATTACCACGGACCGAAAAGTCTCAAAGTTTATCTATATATATATATCTCGTACAAAAACGGTTCAAAACTTATTTTTGATAGCATAATTGCGAACTTGCAAAATGATAAAAAAAAACAACACATTCCACGAAAGGACCTTGGGGCTTTTACTTTTGGTAATTACTGCAACGCTGTTCTTTTTGTTTTTTGCATGTGGAAAATATACACCTATTTAGAATTACATGTTTCATTTTTTGAAAAAGAACCATAAACGCCTTGTCGCAAGGAGTTTAGGGTTGATGCTCCCAAATTCATTTGCCATCTGAAAGTGGTATAGATTTGTTTGCCCCGGCTGAACGATAGAATCAAGTACAAACAGTTTGCGGAAAGAGCGCCAGAATATCAGTTGTATATAGACATTTGTTTTTACAACACTTACGTTTTGCAATTACCTTGAAAATCGGAAAGTGTGTCAGGATTTCGGGGAAGTGTGTCAGAATTACGGGAAAATGTGTCAGATTTTCGGAGAGTGTGTCAGAGGTTTCTGCTTCAAGATTCGTCAATTTAGTCTGACGCGAGCGGGAAAAACCAGAATCAGAGTCATTTTGGGCGAGGGTTTCTTCTAGTTACCATTCGCGTGATGGGCTGCTAGTGTATAGTTACCATACGCGTTAAGCGAGTTACCAAACGTGTTAAGCGAGTTACCAAACGCGTTAAGCGAGTTACCAAACGCGTTGAAATCTTTACCGAACGCGTTATATTGCCCCATGTAAGTTACCATTGACATATTTTCCCTAAAAGATGTGCACTTGTGGAGACCGTACACTATAATGGGATGGATGCATTTCTAAAGCATATTATAAATTAGTACAATCAAGAGAGCTAGCTTGGAGAATGTCTAAGCCATTCTAGAAGCTAATGGAAGAAATCTTCCATAATTATCAACTTTAAGCTTTCAGGTATATGCATGTAGTGTTTGGATGTGATCAAATCATCCCTGTCACATGGAAGGGAAGGAATGCATAGTTTGTTCACGAATCATCCCCCAATTGCCCTTCCACTGATGCAACATAGCTCATCTATTGCGCCACAATGGATGACAGACACAGGCAAATTATGTGCTTACAGTAGCATCAACCGCAGATAAAACTAGCACGTACCAGCGATGTTGCTGCAGCTTGTGATGTGCGCCAAGGCCAAACTATGCGCGGTAGCAGTCTGTGCGCAACGCACTGAACCAGAGGGTGGAGACGGTCGCAGGGGCCAATTCGACGTGTCCCAATCTGAATTGGGTACTGGCAGGGAGTAGGGGCAAGACCACGCGACGACCAACTGGGTGGACCACTGCTGCGGCAAGTGCTCCCTTGTCCAAACGAACCCCACTACTGATGCGCTCCCCACTGCTGAAACTGCTGGCTGGCTAGCCCTGGAGCTACTGTTGTCGTGGCTGCTGCCGCTGTGGCTGCTGCTATGGAGACTTCATGTAGCCAGGACCTCTTCCTCCACTACCGCCGAAGCTGCCACCACCTCCACTCCCTCCACCTCCGCCACCACCACCCCCTCCGCCACCGCCGTCGCCACCGCCTCATGTCTTACCGCCCTACGTGCCCCCCTTGTGACCAGAGGCAACTTCTGCCACCTCTGTTGCCTCAGCAATAGAGGCCGAGGCCACAGAGGAGACAAGGAAGGGCGAGGCACCCCCCTCAAAGATAGGGGGGGAGGACAATACTTCTAGCGGCAGCAAGCGAGCGGGCAAGACTCTCGACCGTAAGGAGCCTCTCCGCAAAGAGCTCAATGGTGAGAGTCATGGGGTCAATGGTGAGAAAGTAATTACGAGTGGGTTTGAAGCGGTCAGGGAGGCGTGTGGCGAGGAGGTACCGGGTCATGCACAAGGGGGGGGGGGGCAGGGGTGGTTCTTAGCAAGCAAGGCAGGACCAGCAG